ACCTCCGGGGGGCGCGCCCCGCAGGGCGCGCCCCGTGTCTTCTTTTTAAACAAATCGAATGGGGCTCCAGTCTTCGTGCTTACCAACAACAACAACAACGACAACCACCACAACCACAACAACGAGAGCCACGGCGACAGCGACAACCACAACGACAGTGACAGCTACAGCTACAGCCACAACAACGACGACGACCAGTGTTGTATTACGACCATGGTTGTGGTTGTTGTGCGGTCGTAGTCGACGTCGTTGTTGTCCTTTTTGTTGCGGTTGTTGTCTTTGTTGTGGTCGTGGTTGTTATTGATGTTGTCGCTGCGGTTGTAGCTGTAGTACGAAGTAGTTGTTGTTGTCGCTGTTGCTGCTGCTGTTGTTGTCGTTGTCGTTGTCGTTGTCGCTGTCGCTGTCGTTGTTGTTGTTGGTGGAGGTGATGCTGGTGGTGTTAGTGTTGTGTTAGTGTTGGTGTTGGTGTTGTTGTGGGTGATAGTGTAGGGCGTAGAGTCTGGGACTTGGCAGGTCTTCCAGGACGGTGTGGAGGCTGGCGGACATCACATCCAAGCCTCGTCGGTGTTTTGAGGATTCAGGAATTTAGGATTCAGTTTTGAGGAATGCAGGCCGTCGCGCCTCGCTGTTTCGGATCTTCACTGCCTGGTTGCAGGTTCTGGAACACAGCGAGACGATGGAGCGCTCCAGGCAGGCCGCTTGCGCAGTCGTCGTCGTGGTACTATCAGTCGGAGTCCTAGCAATAGCAGCCGCAGCAAAGCTTCGCCTGCTCCCACTACTGCTACTGTTACTCCCCATCCCCACTCCCACTCCTACTTCTACCCCTGCTCTCACTGCCACTCCTACGCCCCCTCCTTCGCCTCCTGCTCCTGTCTGCTGCTGCTATCGCCACCAGCACCACCAGCACCAGACCACCTCTTCGCTCCTCCTCGACGAACTTTCTTGCGAACCCGTTGACGAGAGAGGAGCTACCGCGTGCATTTGCCGCATGCAGGCCTCGCAAATGGAGGATCGAGGAGGAAGAAGAGATAGCCGACGGGGCCCTGTTGTATGGGAGGCATGCGGAATAACACAGCCCTGTCGTCTTGAAATTTGTTGTCGCATTGCTGACGTTTTGCAGATTCTGCATCGATGGCATTCCGCCGCGTCAGGCGCACATGTTGTCGCGCGGAAACGTAGCACGTAAAGGCATCGTGGCATGTTTGTCTTCAAGTTTCGCAGGGAGGGACGGTGGGAAATACCTTGCGAAGAACACTCTTGCGGCAGGACCCGGTACCTCGCTCGAATCATGTTATCGTTGGCACATGATGTGGCTTGCAGCCTACCAGGACTTGTTTAGAGCTTACGCAGCGGTGGCCTTCCGCTTGCGTTACCGATCCTACAATGACGCAGCCTCGGATGCCTAAACTGCTGCCTTACGTATGTTCAAGCCGCGAAAGTGCGTGGGCCTCGGCCGAAATGTGCCGAAGGTGGATCAAGGGAAGGTCCACGTGTCCAGAGCGCAGCCTGCGCTCCACGAGCCCAACACCCAGCTGGGCTTCAGGACTTCAGGGCTTGGGAGGATCTTGAAGACAGCTTAAGCACAGGAGCCCCAAGGGTCAATGTGAGATGCGAGCTCTTCGAGTCTCCGACACTCAGACTCTAAGTATGTCCCCAAGCTCAGGTTCTCGTCTGTCCCGGGCGTGCAGGCGGGGTGCAGTGCAGGGGTGAAGAGATCAGGAGAGTCAGCATGATCTTGCTCAGGATTGGGGTTTGGACTTACCCGATGTTCAACCAATCGTTAACATCTCTGCATTCCCAAGTGGCAGCAAACCAACTCCCTTTCACGCAAATCGTTTGACTGTGAAATCCAACTTCACCCAAACCTCGAGCTTCCATGCTTCTGTGAGGAGTCCATGATCGATGTTGTGCGCAGCGTGCAGCAGTTGACTGTTGCCAGAGCACCGTGGCAGGCAGTTCCACTTTGTTGGACAGGTTTTCGCAGGGACAGTCCCACTCTGACGGATTATCCAAGGATGGTTCAGGAGAACTGAAGTCGTGTGCAAATCTTTTTTCGCGTTTTCTGGGGTTCAGCCCTTTGCAAAGATACGAGCTGCCAGGCACCCTCGGACCTTCCGCTGTCTGCCATGGCATCTGAACATCCAGGCGACGTCGGAACGGGGCTTCCGCCACAGCAATGCAAAAGGCATGCACGACTGAATATTTTTAGTAGGTGTTCAAGATTGACCTGGGACAAATCAGCTATGGATTCAGATTCCAGACTTCAAGAAGATGTTTTCCTGGAGAAACGGGGAATTTCGTGTCTCCACCGACGGTGAGGGTTTCGAAGGGTTTCCTTTCTGGTAGCAAAGACACCACATCTTCCGCTCTGTGGACAGGAGCTGCTGAAAGCATGCTGGCAGAACAGCATGTCGTGATCATTCGCATGTTTTTTCATGAGTCACCTCCTTCCCACATATCTGGGCCTCCTTCCGCTGCACTCAAGACTCGTTTTTAAGGAGAAGGACTTTTTAAAATGAAGGCGGCTGTTCCACATTGGCACCTGCAACTGCTCCTCCTTTGACAGCCACCGCCTGCGGCCGCCGCTGCTGCTACTTCTAAGTTCTTCTCTGTCTTTTCCGCCGGCAGTTATCCCCTTTTTTGGATTCAACCTGAGCACCCAAAGTGGTGAAGTGATCAGCATTCTGAGCTACGTTGAGTGGTCTCAGGCTCCTTTGCACTTTCATCCATCCCTCGAGCAAGCGAGGCGAACCCGACGTCTGGCGCTGGGCCACGCGTCGTTGCGGGCCGTGCCCTGTCAAGGTGGGATTTGGCCTGGGTGTTAACAGTATCAGCATGGGTCTTGTGTTTTGCAGCCGCCATGATGTGTTTACCTGGATCGTCTGAGCTTTCGGATTGAGGGGATACCATAGCCTCCACATGACTCAACCTCTTGAAAGGGACTAGAACATGGAGCAAGCCACATGAGGGGACTAGAGTGTTTGAGAGACAGGGCCGACAGTCTCGGGAGAGCTGGATGACCTCGACAGGCACAAGATCTGGACATGGTTGACAGCTCTTCCTTCTACGAACGGCCCTCCGGCAAGTTTGAGGGAGATGGGCCATGGAAAAACCCGGACTCCAGTCTCGAAGGTCAGGCGTCTGCTTATCTGCACGAAGAATAACATACCAACCTGATTCCCGTTAAGCATGCGGCCAGGCCCACCTACTTGCCAATTGGGCAGCAGCACTTGCTGCAGATTTCTGTCGGAAGCTTGTACCATTGCCCGCTGAGCAGCTCTCCACAAGGGCCCGCCGCCAAGGCCCCTGCAATGATCGAATTCGAGGTTGAAGCGACGCGCTTCCCTCGGACATGAGACGATTGGAGTCGATTGGTGGCTGCGAGACTTTCAGGTGCGCGTCGCAGACGGAATGGGAAATCTCTGGGGCCTTCGAAGAGTGCCCGGAAAAGTGCTCACTTCATACAGTCTGTAGGGAGTAAGACCTTGGTTTCCAGGTACCGACAGCGACTGCGCTCTGATCGGTGGCTTGTGGTGCCTCCCCTGTTCTCGCCTGTGAAGAAGGCCTGCGTGTCTCATGCTCACCTGCGCCGGAGCAAGCCGTGGCGAAGTCTTGCAGGTGAACTACATGGTCACCGGGAGCGACGACGACACGGAGCGATTGGTTCTTGAATTCTCCCATGCTTGCACGCAAGTTCAGCAGCCGGTGTCCTCGGCTCCGCAGGAGTCGGTGCAGCTGGAGGTGTGGACCACAAAGGCAGCCAGGCCGGAGCAACAGCGGCCCGCCTCGTCTCCAGCGTCCTCTCACATTGAGCGTTCAACTAATCTCAGCTGTTTGGGCTTGCCAGAGCCATGGGATTCCAGCCTTTGACGCAAGTTGGAGCCAGCCGAAGGTGCCAGGGACAAATGGGAGGCCCAAAGAGGCCTCCGCTGAAGTTGCTCCCATGGCGACGGTGCTTCGCCGTGGCAGCTTGTGCCTTGGGCGGCTCTTAGCAAGCTTGTGCCTGTTTGCTTGCTCTCTCCAGGCTCCTCTTGATCCGCCGATATGAGGTGTGACATGCTCGATGAGCATTGCGACCACTCTGACAGCTGATTCGGCCAGTGTCGAGGTCGTCCCGAGTGTTCACTTGCGCACTTGCCTTAACTGACTCTTCGTAGCCCTTCAAGGTGCTGTCGTTCTCTGCCAACCTTCGGCGGCGAGGAGTGGTTTGGGTTCCCTTGGCATGGCCATGGCCAGCGCTGGCCACGGAGCTCGAGGGTGCACGGGAGCGTGTGGCCGCAGTGGCTCAGAAGGCGGGGACACGCAGTCTACAACAAGGCGCTCTCTGTGGTTTGACGGAGTGATGATTTACCAGCTTCCCGCAGCTGGAAGAGCTGGCCAACACGGAGACCTTTGCCAAGGTGGCTGCCGGTGGAGGTGACAACATCAGGCGCGGTGCGGCACATCTCTTCCTCTCCCTCCTCTTTTTCTGGGGCAGGCGGGAGCTGGGAACCGTTGGAACGACCTCCCCCCTCTTCGACGCAGAGAAGGCCAGGGCCCCGGACCTTGGCCTCTTAGGCTTTAGGCCCCTCTCCCTAAGAGCCGGGGGCCCGGGGGCCTGGGAGCCGAAGCGAGGCCTTCAAGGCCTTGGCCGAGGAGGTGGAGGATCCCGAGCTCTACTTCGAAACCTTGGAGAAGCTCAAAGAGGCGGGGCGGGGGTGAGAGCCCTGGGCACTCTGGTGTCATCCGATCCGAGGCCGTGAGCAACGCGGATGCGGACGCCTACTCGAGCATTTTTTCCATGAACTCTGCGGCTGCAACGCCGCCACAGGCTGGGGCATGAACGACCCCCCTCATCTCATTCTGCCAAGACTGCGTGTGCTGAGAGGTTTACACGGATCGATCCTTCAAGGACTCCAACTTGTGCTTGTGCATGTTTCTCCAGGCTCGGGGCCCAGGCGTCTGAGATTCTGAGAGTCTTCCAGGAGGTGCAAGATGCGCGCTCCGCCGTCCGGCAGCTGCTGGCAATGCTGAAGAAGTAGCGGTTGCAGCGGTTCTGCGAATGAGGGCCTGTTTAGCTTGCAGTGCTGACTACGAAGGGTCACGAGACGTCAATTTCGTCGCGGATCTCGTTCTGCCTCACGGCCTCGCCGCGTCACAGGAAAACGCAACCCAGCTGAACCCTAAGAAGGCCGCGAGGCACCGAAGCGCTGCGGACCAGAAAAGGAGCGCTAGGAAACGTCAAGGAAATTCTGCTGCCCTCTTATCCCAAGAACTTGAATTAAAGGCCCTCGAGCCTGGTTCGAACGTCGGCTGCCTCGCTTTTGGCATCTTTGGTCGGGCGACGGCTGGAGGCATCGTGCTGTGACTTTGGGAGTTTAGGTTTACTTTGACAAACTTTGATGGCTTCCGAAGCTAGGTGGCTTTGGAATTATGCTAGTGCACTCGTGGTTTTTGGGACGAGAGAGGCTGCTTGCCTTTCCCATCGCACCGTGAAGGGAGATGCCGATGCTGAAGCCGATGCCCCAGAAAAAAAGCAGTGGGGATAATCGGGAAGAGCGTGCTTAGAGTGAAGCTGCATTGTGTACAGCACCAAGCACTTCACAACTTGAACAAACTGAGAAACGATTCTCTCACCCAGGCGCCCTCAGGCAGGGGGGCAGGGGGAAAATTGAGGGTTCAGGAAGAAATCGTCCTTGGTGCGGGTACTTGGCAGAAATTTAACTTGCAAGGAGGTTCAGGCTTCCTCTTGGTGATCTGCAGCACTCGTCGGGACTGCGGGATTGCAAGAACTTCGGGAAAGTGGAACAGATTCCTTCAAACGCGCCTGCAGGCATCGCGGGAGCCGCCAGCGATGCCGGCGTTGACAAGGCACCGAAGTGCCAGTGCAGTTGTTGCTACTGCTACATCCGGGCTCGAGCTTCGTGTTGCCGATCTCTTGTGAGGGGCAGCTAGCAGACCGTCTTGCTGAAGGCACCTCAGCATTGTGCCACTGTGGGACTCATGGGACTCTGGGAAGGGAGCCGTTTCTGGAGCGTGGTGCTCGCTTCACGCCCGCAGACGGTGAATATGATGATGGCCAAGACGCCCTGGATGAACTGCTCAGCAGCTCCCAGCTTGGTGGGCTCTGGACCGCTCTGGCAGCTCTGAGGATGGCTAACCCGATTGCGCTTCCGAGGTGCCAGCCAAACGGAAGCAGGCATTGGAGACAGCGACGACGAAGGCCCAGTGCAGTCTGTCTGGGCTTCTTGTGAGACCGCTTCTGATTGCTGATTTCAGGCATGCGAGCCCTGACGGAGGGCTTGTTTGATCTGTGACTTGCAAAAAAACGTCCTATGCCAGCTGCCCTTTCGCAACCTTTCCAGCGCCAGAAATCTAATTCATGACGCTGCCCTGTCACCGCGAGCAGATTCACGCAGCACATGTGCGGATTCGTGTGCATGCTTGATCATGACGGCCGTATGACGCTGCTCCATCAGCTCAATTCCGAGATGATCAGACTTGCCAGAGTACAAGAGAGCAGGATAACATGAGCAGGTCGTTCACGCGAGCTCCCAGCCGCTGAAAAGTAAAGCTCAGAGTCGTATCAATGCGACTTCGAACCGTTAATGTAAAGCCTTTGCAAGCACCTCTCGGCGCCCGCAAGATCCATCCTGCCTGGTGCCATCTGGTGCCTCTAATCTTGGCCTTGCTGTGCCGCCGCTACATGAGCTGAACAGAGCTGCTTTTATCAGTTTGCACAAAGTTGCTCTTTGGTAGCCATTTGCATCAAGCACTTTGCCCGTGTAGAGATTTTTGCAGCTGAGACTGCTGGCTTTCGAGGACGTGGCACCGACTTTTGAGGAATGGGCTCTCGAAAATCCTGCGCGCACCGGCGAAAGCCTTGTGGAATATCGAGGTGAAAGGGCTACTAAAAGAAAGTGCTAAGTGCGCGTGCACAAGGCTTCGGAAGAAATCACCACGCACAAATCAATCATATCAAATTTGGACTAAAAATGGATTGGTAGAATCAAATATCCACGAACAAATCAATTATAACCTATTTTGCCCAGGACTTGGTTAACAAAATTTATTACGATTGATATCTTTACTGACTAATAAGAAGCTACGAATAACTTGAATATAATAGATAATATTCAAAAATTGGTTGTCTAAATTTATTATATTCAATTATTATGAAATATATATATTTATAAATATTACAATTGTTTATTTCTTATTTTAGATATAATTATAATATTTGAAGTTATATACTTAAATATACATTGATATTCATTTAGATATATAAATGAAAAGAATTAAGGATATAAAACTTTATTTTTTTATTAATTAATAATAAATATACGAATTATTATACTTATATTTTAATATTATAAGAATAATTTATCGGTAGGATTATGCTTTTTATATAATAAATTTCAACAAATAAGATATTCCTTGGAATTTCTATTGTATTCTGTATATTTTGTTTAGATTTTCAAATATTTTTCTAGTTTCTATTTAGAATACATTGAATTTTTATATTTTATTA